TCTCTCTCTCTCTCTCTCTCTCTCTCTCTCTCTCTCTCTCTCTCTCTCTCTCTCTCTCTCTCTCTCTCTCTCTCTCTCTCTGTGTGTGCACTACCGTAGTCAAGAATGTGGCACGACCAAGAAAGTGGAAAAATAAGCAAGCCACTCACCAAGGCGTCTATGCACTACCGCGGTCATCAAGACAAAAAAAAAAGGGGGTTGTATTTGTCCACGTTCTAAGGGGAGATTCATTCTCAGTTTGCACACTTGCTAAGAAGTGGAGCAAGGGCCCAAGTAGGGGAAAGGAATGAAACTCAACCCAGCACATGGAAAGGTACGTCGTTACTTTACTTTTACCTTTTTGCCAAGGCTTTGAGACCCTCAGCCGTGGTCCAGAACTGGACCCACTCAGCCTGGACCCGAACCCCTTGTGCAGGTAAAGTTGGTCTCATTCACTCGAATATGACGCATATACGTTGTAAATGAATACAACACACGGTATGCGTTGTAAACGACTCGGAGCGTTGTATTCATTTACAACGCATATGCGTTATGTTCGGGGGAAGACGGTAGTAGATGGGTCAGTAATGCATTCTCAAACTCTACTCATCTTCCCCCGAACTGCAACGTGTCAACTTTCGATGTTGTGCAGATTTTTGTCCCGCTCTGCAATATTTGTCTTCTTGAAGGGGTTGTACATTAGCTTATCTTCTTTCTTTCTTGCTCGGCTTCTGCATGCTTTATCTTTGGTGAACAATTTACAGACTACCCTGCAAACGTACCTGATGTATGGAGTTCTGGTTTTCTGTGCAAATTTGAAATTGTCCTTATAATTTATGCTTTCAGTTTAGACTGTGTTGAAAAATAGGAGCTAGGATATTTTCTTCCACGAGCCTTAGCAAGCACCCTTTGAATTCTCTCTCCTATCCTGACTATTTGATTTTCGCTAATGATTTTGAAAATTTTTCACAATGTCATGTATTTCACGGATATACGAGGTTGACGCTCATCCTATGGAATCCCAATTTGTTGATTGTATTTGTTATCGAAATTATGAGAAAGTGTGGATTTGTCCTCTCTATAGCAATAAAAAGATTCTCATAATGCAATACTTCCTAGCAGCACGGACTCATGACACTCAATATGAAAAAACATATAGGAGATCCGAGGTATGGACGAGTAAAGTACTATTATTAAAATTAGTTGGAAAGTCCTTAGACGCATGTACTAAGGATGAGACGACGTGTTATAGAGAGGTCGCGTGATTGCTAATGAAAAGACGATCATTTGGAAAAATAAAAACTGATGGATTGGGACTATGGTTAACTATCTCACATCCCTTATAATGGCATGACTAGACAAGGGTTACTCATGGCGAGTCAACCACTCATTTCGAGGTACGTGTTACGAAAAGTATCATTCATTGAAATAAATGGTACTTTGTCTAATATCCATGATGACGTAAAATATATCGCTAAGAACTGTCTAGTATGTGATGCTTCCTTTATCTAAACTCCCAATATGATCGTGCCAACCAAGGTGATTCGTCCATTCCAGGATGTCTGCAGCCCGTCAGGGTTGCATTTTATGCCCGTGAGTCCTTAAACGACAAGTCAACGTTCAACGTCAGTCGTTCGGGAGAGTAGGTATTTTGTTTGAGGGCTTAGCAAAGGGGTGGGGCACGCGAAAACCCGTTATTTTGGAGCGGTGGTGAGGGCTTGGAGGTTGGAAAAATCGAAACGGTGCGGCTCAGACTTGCACCTTCCAGCCCCCGCGAACCCACTCCCGCCCAACAGGCGCCCCCTTCCACAAGAGAGTTATTCTGGATCTGGACTTCTTACTGCACCAGATTCATAGTCGAAGCAACGCCCTCTCTCTCTCACACACACACACACATACACATACACACATACAAACATACACACATACACATAACACACGCATACTCACATTTCATTTAAATGAGCCTCTCTCTCTCACGCAGGAGCGTGCGGACATACTCTCACATACACACGCACACACACACACATACACTCTTGGAGTTATGCATAGCGAATATGACAAACGACATCAACAGACAAATTGCAGGCTACGCGTCCATGCCCTCACATTAAGTCAATTAGTATGGGTACAAAAGATGGTGTTGTGTTCGATCGTGCCAATCGAGGTGATTCGTCCCTTCCAGCGTGTTAGTATGGGTACAAGAGATATTATCGTGTCAGATGGATCAAATAAATGTGAATATAATATTATTATTAGCGTCGAAGATAGCCATCTATACCGACAAATTCATGGGGACGCACCTAGACCTGGAGGACACTTTAACCAATAATGGGTTTGAATTCCAGGGAACAATTGACCAAAATCTGGCCCGAAGAGACGTTATGTTGTGTCACAAGGCACCACACATGTCACAATCTACTAGTTGGCTGAAAATGTCAACTGTATTATCAAAACTGCACTCCAATGGAATATTGCAGCTAAGGACACATGACCATGGCCTGAGATCATTTTTTAGATTTTAGCCAACCACCAGTCCACACCCTCTCAATCCACGGGCCTAAGCCTATTTCAATTACGGACCAAAAGTATTCGATGCGTTACCAAGCAGGACGCCTCAGAATTATCAAACCAAAGGGTTGCAACAACCGGACTTTGATGAAGACCAAGGCTAAGCGGTACCCGAAACTAATGGAATGGTTCTTGCCTAAATTAACCCACAAGAGAGAGCATGGCGAAATTGGCCCATGGTAGACAGGTCCGTAGCGACGAGGCTCAGAACAAAACTGCTAGGCCCACGACCTGTATAAATCAGGGGATGTTGTGCAAGTGAGGAAATGTGCTCGTGATAGAAAGCTAGTCCCCAAGTACTCAAGTTGTTTTTGCATAATCAAGCTTGGAAAGAACGACGTAAAAATCGTGCGGATAGCACCTGAATTATGTGGAAGTCATTACTCTCTTCCTAACGTTCGTGACATCTCCTACCTACGACCTTTTCCTTCTTCTTCTAAGTCTCCGTCTCCCCGTTCTTCTTCGCCCTCTTCAATCATTGACCACAATTGTTGTCCTAACGCGCTTTCGTCTCCCCTTGACTCTCTCTCAGTCTTCCCTTCGCCATGAATGAGAAGTTACGATTCGCCACTGAACGAGAGATTTCAACGTACCTTCTTCAAAGATGGATAGCATGTGAATTTCAACTCTGATTCCCACAGATCGATCATCCCAACGTAGCGTACACCCTCATACTCTACATCCGACATTCGAGTAGTCCATGCTTCTTCACCACCGTTAAGATCAACATTGATCAGCAGCGCTACTACAATTTGTAC